AAAGCATGTCAGGTGGACTTAATCTGATCAGAAGCCATTTTCAAGTTGGCACCTGTGAGCTATGTATGTATGAAGGAATTTGTGCCTTTTATGGTTCAAAATCCCGTAGAACCCGCAAGTCTATCAAACTTTTAAAGTGATGTTGCTGCACTGCATATGCATGGGTTTTTTGTCTCTCTCAGACACTTGCTTGTGAACTATAATAGCACCATAAGGTCTTGTCGTAAAAGGCATAGGGTGAGATCCTAGCCCCACTGAAGTCAATGGGAGTTTGGTCACTGACTTTAATGCAGCCAAGATTTTACCAATAGATTGTTTTATAAGTATATTTTTAACATCAATTTCCCATAGCAATCCAAGTCATCTTGCCTCCCAAAGCATATCCTGGAGCAGGACTGATCACACTAACCCTCACATTGGCTTCTGCCTCAGTTCTACAGCAGTACCATATATACAGCTGGTGAAACTTGCACAGTTTACGGAGTCCGACTACACACCCAAAAATTTGGGGAAGTGATAAATAATGAAGAGCACAGGTCACTGTAGAGAGTAATCTGGATTGTTTGGTAAACTGGTTGCAAGCAAACATTATGCATTTTAATATGGCTAAATGTAAATGTATTCATCTAAGAATAAACAATGTAAGCCATAATTACAGGAATGGGGGACTCTATCCTGGGAAACAGTAACTCTGAAATAGAACTGTGGATCATGGTGGATAATCAGCTGGAACACAAGCTCCCAATGTGATACTGTGGCCAAAAGAGCTAATGAAATCTTGCAGGCACAGACAGGGGATCTTGAGCAGGAATAGAGAGGTTATTTGACCTCTGTATTTGGCTCTGGTGTGACAGCTGCTGGAATACTGTGTCCAGTTCTGGTGCCCACAATTCAGGAAAGATGTTGATGAATTGGAGAGGGGTCAGAGAAGAGCCACAAGAATGATTAAAAGATTAGAAAACATGTCTTATAGCTCATCTATTTAGCTTAACAAAGAGAAGGTTAAGGGTTGACTTGATTACGTCTGTAAGTACATACACGTGGAACAAATATTTAGTAATGGGCTCTTAAATCTGGCAGGGAAAGGCATAACACAATCCATGGGTAGGATTCTCCATCACTGACAATTTTTACATCAAAATTGGATGTTTTTCTAAAAGATCTGCTCTAAGAGTTATTGTGGGGAAGTTCTATGGCCTGTGTTATACAGGAGGTCAGATGAGATGATCAAGCGGGCCCTTCTGACTTTGGAATTCATTAATCTATTAGTCCAGCAGTTCTCAAACAATGGGGTGGGCCTTCCAAAAGAGGTGCAAGCTGTGTGGGTTTTTTTTTTAAATAAAGAACTCTGGCTGTCAGCCCATCATGTATAACAACAACAACCCCAGAACAAATTGTAAAATTTTTGACATGCTGCGAAGTCCATCTTTTCTGACTGTGCTTAGCAGGTGAGTTATTATGGGTAATTGTGATTATTTTGGACAAACATTATTATGGATCACTTGGGTACAGACTATTTAGTGTAATATGTTTTTTAATTGTCTGAAGAGCACACCGAGTTTAGGCGAGACTCTTCAATTTACCTAAATGAATATATATGATGCATTAGATATTTAATGTTGTGAGCAACGACGATATAACAGTGAGAAGAAAAATGTATAGGGGCATAATTTGTATGGTCCACATTGATACATATTCCACTGTGTGATGGTATTTTTTGATATAGATTATAAAATTGATAAAAGTTTTCAACACCTTCCTGTCTCTTACAATTCTTAAGTTTAGCTATATCAGATGCTGGTAAAAGCTCTGACTCTATTTCCTTTATTGTCCCTGACTTGTTTCTTCATTTTTGGTGTCACCTAAACTGTACTTACTCACTTGGATAAAAATCACTAAGTCAGAACCTGACACTGTTACAAGTATCACCAATAAGGTATCAGCAGAAGATGCAGCAGTGAAGTATTGGTGACTCAATGTACTAATTAATACCTATTACTTATTAAGAGCAAGCACTTTCTAGCCTAACCCCATACAGTCCAACAAGCAAAGTTGAAGCCTAATGCTCAAATTTAAGAGAGCTACTATACATCCAACAGTCCAGTCTATATCCACATAGCCACCACAATCTTGGGCATATGGGTCACCTAAAAAGAGCAGTGAGAGTGATGCATTCAAAGCCAAACATCTAATATTTCCCGCAATTCCCTCATACCCATATGGATGTGACGGCAAAGAAAATCATATTTTTAGAACTTGTTTGGCAAGTTACCAAATGCTGGCAAATCCTGCAAAACCCAACAGTTTTGCCCTGAATTGTGGAACAGAAAAATGTTGCCATTCACACCTCATTTTTTTCATTACTGTGGAGAGGCAGTGATTCTATGTAGAAAAAATGGTCATTCTGCCTTGCTAAAAAACTGCCTGTGTCCAGGCCTGAAGATGACAAATTATTGGGATGGGTAATTCTAAACCCTGGGGGTCTTACTATTTATTCATTAATTATTATTATTTGTTAAAGGACAATACTGTAGTAAATATTATAAAAGACTTGTGCTAGACCTAGCTTGTTCTTCTAGCCACTTCTGCATCTGTGACAGAGTTTGTTTAATAGCATCCCTGGAACAGTCCCTGCTGAGGATGATATTAAGCTTTAATTAAGTCTCTTAATGTAGACACATGAGAAAATGCTGGAAAACTAAAAAAAACTTCTCTGGTGTACCTAGTCCTCATCTGAGTGGTGAATTACACCTTCACCAGGATAGAACAATGTGTTCTTCTCAAAGACTCCCAAAATCTCACATAGCCTGGTAGGGCAGTTTATAACATCTGTTAGATCACTATTTCTGCCCAAGATAGCCCACAGGAGCCCATCAGTCCTGTACCTCATGCACGGTTTTGGCTGGTCTATATGGGGAGTACTAAAGAGGAGGGTTTTCAAAATTTTAATGTCACACAGCTGTATTCTGCATACAACTTTTCTTTTAAAAATCTCCTACAGCTAGTGTAAGTGTTTGGTGCGTCCAAAGGCAAAGATCTGGTTAAAGGCACAGTTCTGAAAACATGACAATGTCAAAGAATAGTATGGTTGTGATGGATGAAAAGTACAGAGTTGTCTGGGAGCTTCAAGTATGCAAGATATAGGGCCATTATTTATCCCTGGAGTAACTCTGTTGACTTTAGTGGATTTACACCAGTGATGAATGTGGTTCATAATGTGTAAGGTTGATTTCCTTTGTTTCTTCTAGAAACCTCACAAGTTTGTCTCTACAGAGAATTCAACTTTTAACAGTGATGGGTCTGAGCTGCATTATTTGGATCTGGACTTGGACTATTCTTTATTCAGTGATGTCCGGATCAAGGGTTTTAATTAAGGTGCATCTACAGTTTTTCATGGTTTCCACTGTGAATGTTGAAATGGGTTTCACGAGTGGATAGCAAGTATAAACAAGGATATGCTGAAATATATATAATTCAACCAGCATAAGCCATAATAATCTGTTTTAACAATATTTGAGGTGGGGTTCGGTTGGAGGAGATATTTAGGCATAAAATCAATAACATTCCACCTGCTGGTTTTTCACCCATGAACCAGTAATAAGTGCAGCACTCTGTAATAAGTACACTGTGTCCAATCATAATGATATATAATGAAATTGCATGGAGTACATTCCCTTGTTACCCTTTATTTATTGGAAATCTACTCTCATATGTTGTACATAGTGTACTGTAGATAGTTATGTCAAGTTATTATGACTGATTTAAAGTCAAATGAAAATACCATATGTTTGGTATTGGGCAAGATCTCTTCTTGTCCCTAATGAACCATGTTCTATTAAGAAGAAGCTTAATGTGCCAAAATGAAGCAGAGGTTTAGATGATTCCAAGAAAACTCTGAAATGTTTTATACCCTTGTTTTTTAAACAAATAAAGAAGAGAAAGAAGACTCTCCTTTCTGGGTTTTGTAGCACATGATATGGATTCATGTGTGCCAGACAGCCTAAAACTGGGTTCACTAGCCCAGGTACTTAAAAAAAAAAAAAGTCCAAACTCTCAGATCTACAAAAGTGATCTCATTATTATATTTTTAGCATCCAAAAATGTGCTTACATCTGTGATATCCTGCTCTTGCCATCTGAAACTCCCATGCATGCTAATTGGAACTGGGATCCATGTGGGTTTGAGAAAAGAATTTCAACCTCAATAAACAAAGAGCAATTAGGAAAATGAGCAACTTAGAATATGTAGGTCCATGTCATGTCTCGTTCTGCAGAGAGGATGCAGATGGCACAAATACTCCTTCCCACCCATCTCTTGTGCACAGGGCAGCTGTAATTTGGTTGCCAGGAGCTGGTGAGTACAGAAAATCAGCATTGCTGGAAGCCCTAGCTGGTCCCAGAGGAGGATGACTTGGTGGCGTGGGGTCATACCAGCACATTGGCAAAGCTGCACTTATAGGAATCCTACTGACATCTTTTCAAAGATGCACCAGAAGCCAGTTCCTAGTACTTCCTTCCAGCACTAGTGGCAGCATACTACCTTTCAAAAGTGGGATCCCGGCAAGCAGTGCCACTTCAGAGGTGCACCACTAATATAATTATTAATCACATCTATTATGGGAGTGCCTAAGGGCTAATCATGAGTGGAGCCCCACTGTGGTAGGCACTATACAAACACAGAGAAGTACATGGGCCTCCAACTCACAGCACACCTTTCCTATTGCGCATCATTTTACCATCTGTATAATACGATGAGCCAGATAATTTACTTTCAATATGTAACTTAAACCCACCTCCCAACTTTAACTGGGTCCGACCTTTTTGCAATACCCTTTTGAAAAATATTAAATTGTTCATTTATACTTTGAATAGTGCAACAGGTAGTTTTACCCAGAAAACACAAACACAAGCTGTAATCATGGTAATGTGAGTATACTAACTAGAAAAGTGTTAAGTGATTCAGGAAAGATCTAAAATAAAAGATGGAAAAGTTTAATATACCACATTGCATTCTGTGGACTGTGCAGAAGAAGGAGCTGTAGACTTTTGTCCCACATCTTTTGGAGGCATCTGTAGATTGTCTGGAAAAAGCCTAGGTGGATGTTCTTGGATTTCAGGCTCTGCTTTATTGTCAAGGAGGGGAGCTATCTGAATGGAAAGAGATGCTGTGTGTATCTCAGGCACAGGGTTACAGGTGGGTGAAACAGGCCTTTGTGGAAATGTTGGCACTTCATTAGACTTGGGCTGCTGCTGTGTATTACGAGGAACATTACTCAGTGAGTCTTGTGTCCGGGTTAATTTCAGGGTAGAAACTCTGCGTTTTTGAGATGCTTGTCTGTGGCCTTGATGAAGAGTAGCTCTAATGCCAGCTACTGCTGTGCTTGTGTTGGAGACTGAGGCCAGTGGTTTAGTGATTCTTTGTGCATAGGAGACGCCTGTGTTATATTTTTTAGAATACATTGTCCTCTGGATAGCCTCCTTGTTAGTATAGTAGACAGTATCTGAGGGGAGTTTTTTAGTTGGCTTGGTCGTTATTGACTGGAAATTAATTTCATCCTTCATGTGATTAGTTATTTCAGATCTATGAAAACTTTCTTTTCTAGGGGGTGGCAGAGGTGCCTTATTTGCCAAAAGCATCCACACACAGCAAAATAACATTGAACGAGAAACAGAGAGAAAGTAAATGTTAGCAGGAAAAGTAACTTGAGTTAGACTCGTAACTTCAAATGAAAGACCAAGGGCCTGATCCAAATTCCATTCAATACAATGGAAAGACTTTGGATCAGGTACTGCACTGTACCTGATAATAATATTGTATTTTGATGTCTAGGAAATCACAGATTCCATTTGTTAATGAAAAGAGTGAATTGTGATCCAAACCGAGTCCATAATATCAAATATATTTTATTTTGCACCGACACTACTGTTTGAGAATTATCACCAAATTTTACAGAGATTTAAATAGTTCATAAAATGTACTTGACATATCATTTTAGCCGACAAGCTACTATTTATGAGTAACATACATACATATTACACACACACACTCTTTTAAAGCTTTTGAATTAAAATAGTAATGCAAATACTATTATAAATATGTTTCTGAATTAACCCATATTGTTTCATGGCATTTTCTCTAATTGTTATATAGTTTAGCAAAGTTAGCTGAAGAACAGTACTTCTGGTTATTCTTAAATTAATCTAATTGAACTTTATAATCAGTTATTATTTATACCATAAAGAAAGTATTTCTTTGGTGTGTAAAATATTAATCAATACCCTTTGAAGTCCGAATACAGTTATATAAGGTTTTTGATTGAACCTGGCCTATTTTTATTTGCATACAGCCTTGCTCTTTGAAAGTAGTTTGTTGTGTTACTGAACCAGACGACTTGTGTCCTGTATAGTGTATGTTTATGTGTACAGCAGAAACAGATAATACAACACGTAATAACAGGTGCGGGTGCTACCAGGAACACATCTGGATAATGCCCTATAGGGCATCACAACTTCATGTAATGCACTCGTAAGCTAACACTTACACTTACACTTAATATCAAAGGATGAAACTGTGTGTGTGAAGGTTTACCTGAGTTGGCGACTTCTTTTCTTGTAGGTTTGGCCGGACACTTCTAAAGCCTTTTGCTGCAAGAGATGAACTACTAGCGTCTCCATTCAATGTCTCTCTACTTCCATCATTGTAAGATGTCCAAGCTTTTGTGAGGAAAAAAATCAAAACAAATTTTTGGTAAATAGTCCCTATGTATCCATGTTACCATAATAAATCTACCTATTGAACAAACTGTTGAAATTATAACTTTCTAGTCAGTAGCTAGAATTACTATCAACAATATACACATCAAAAGGAGAGTTAAATGGATAAGCTTGAAGCTACAACTTCTCAAGCTGTGATTTTGTCAGCCAGATGAGCCTAGATCAGTATTGTTACTATTTTACTTACTTGTGATAGCTCCCACAATATTCATGGATTCATAGACACATAGATTTTAAGGCCAGAAGGGACCATTGTGACCATCTAGTCTGACCTCCTTCATAACTCAGGCTATAGGACTTCCATTCATTCTTGCTTCAAGCCCAATAGCTTTGGTTGAACTAGAATTCCTTTTTAGAAAAACATCTCCTCTATATTTAAAGAGTTCCAGTGATGGTCAATTGTTCCAATAATCTGTTCCTCATTTATAATCTGAATCTGTTTTCCAACTTCCAGTCTCATAGACTCATAGACTTTAAGGTCAGAAGGGACCATTATGATCTTCTAGTCTGACCTCTTGCACAACGCAGGCCACAGAATCTCACCCACCCACGCCTGTAACAAACCCCTGACCTATGTCTGAGCTATTGAAGTCCTCAACTTGTGGTTTAAAGACTTCAAGGTGCAGAGAATCTTCCAGCAAGTGACCCGTGCCCCACGCTGCAGAGGAAGGTGAAAAACCCCCAGGGACTCTGCCAATCTGCCAGTCATGGGATCCTGTTATTATACCTTTGTCTTTTTAGACTGAAGAACCCTCTATTCTCATATTTCTGTTCCTCATAGTCTAGTTAGTCCAAATATAAATGAAGACACATTCCTGACCTGAATATCTGATAGACTGGAAGATAAGATGAAGGGTGGGGAAAAGGAATACAATATGCAAGCATGGTTCTCAGGGTAATGATTAGGATATGTATTCTCTGTATTTGCATGGGAGACTTCAAAAGAAATCTTCAGTGCCATTGGAATGCATGATGGTGAATCAGTAGGTTGTATTCGAGTCAGTTTTTAGCCATACTATTGTACTACACTACTGTGCTGCTGGAAATGCTATCTTGTGGATGAGACCTAAACTTGAGGTTTTAATCACTTGTCATTATTAAAGATTCAGTGGCACTTTCTTTAAGAGTAGGTGTTAGACTCAGTATTCTGGATAAATTCCTCCCTGTATTCCTCCCCTATAATTTCAGTTTGATAAAACATTTATCACTTTCTGACCTGATCTGTTGTGATGCATTGTTAAACCATTGCTGCATTTCAGTCTAGAGGTGGCTGCACTAACTAGTGAGCATTCTGTATTGCACATCCCATAGAAACAGGAACAAAACAGATTGTATGGCATATATGATATCTAACTAACTGTTGGACAAAATTGTCCTGGAAGCCTTGACATCACTTCGGACAGGTAGTTGTCTGATGGAGGTTCTCAGTCACAGGTTTCACCTGAGATAGTTTGCAAAAATCAGTAAGGTTTGTAAGGTGCACTGGGATCCATTTGGATGCATGATGCTATATAAATGGAAGATTGCTATAATTCATACATGTACAATATCAGTACACTTATGCATAAAGAAAATAATGTTTTATTTACCTGAATCTGGAGACTGAGAATCAGGTCCTAAAGAAGAAATAGCCAAGTTAGTGTGTGCTGGAAATTAAAATACTGTAGGCAATTCTGTCAGCCTTTTTGGTGATGGAACGGTATGCTGTATGTGACACTGGGTCTGCTTCTACATTCCTTGCACACTCAGACCTCATATTGACTTTGGGGAAATTTTAAGATATGCAAGGATTGTAGGACTAGGCTCACAGTATACTTTGAAAAGAACATATATTTAAAAAAAAGACAGCGATTTTGATCAAATTGTAGTAGGTTGGGTGATGTTTTGATGGATGTGTTTGTTATTGTTCTGTGTATGTGGTGCCAAATTCTGTACCGATTTATACCCACTCTGGCCCAGCAAAGTCACTAGGGGTGTGTAGTGTAACTTGGTCAGAATTTGATCCATATTGTCTTACCAAGTGAAGCCATTTTCTTAATAATCAAAATCACCGATCCTAACAATATTGAATCATTCTGAGTACTGGGCTAATTAAATAAAGGTATCTGAGAGAATCTAATGGAAACTCAAGGATAATAGTGGTGGTGGTGCTTTTTAAAGTCTGCAGCAGCTGCTGCTACCAAGAGAATTTAGCTATGAGGTCACACACTCAGTGAGCCTCCACCACAGTCAAACTAGCCTTGTCATAGAGAAATTGATTTTAACCTATATATATATATATATATATATATCATTAGTCTTTTCCCCCCACAACTTTAATTGCCTATGCTTCAGTATGCGAGAATATTTTCTAAATGCATCATCGAGTCTTCTTTGTATTGAATTAAGATAATTTCATAGACCATTTAAAAGGAGTTGATGTAACTGTACGTGTAGAAATTAATCTAATTTAAGGAAGCTCAACAGTAATTGTTATAGTCTCAGAAGAGCCAGTTTACACTATACAGAAAAAATTAGTTTCTAATAAATTTCCTCTGATGTTGCACAATTGGAAAAGATCTATATAATAGGTACTAACTGTTTTATTGAAATTACATACTCACAACTTGCCCTCTGTTACCTATATATACACACCACTGAATATTGCACTATAAGTAACCAATGTTTACTGCTCAATTAAATTACATTTTATCAAGGATTATATTGTACTATGACAATTACTACATTGTGGATATTTAAATCACTGCTACATCAGACAAGGAATAAAACAAACAATATTATTGCCTGTTTTTTCAGTAAACTCTATAATTTATTGTCTTCTTAAATCTAGATACCAGAAGAAATGACACTGCTTTAAGAGGGCATGGAGAGGCTTCATTCAAAAACAAAGGGGCCATACATGGGTGATGTGAGATTTTTGGATGGTGCCAGAATGTGGACAACTGCAGGAAGTCTCTACAGTGTTTGGCAAAGAGAAAGACAGAAATTCTGTCCATATATACAGTATATTGGCATGGGGTATGTTTGGGTGTGTGATTATTAGATGATCTAAAGGAGACTAATTTGAAAAAAGTTATCCATATGTATGGAATTCTTTTTCCTTTGGAAAAAATTCATACGGATTCTTCATGTGCGATAATCCAATCCACTAGATTAATAATCCACTAACCAAAATTATCTAAGTAAGAATTGGCACAATGGACCATCACTACCCTTATGGACTATTAAGTACAGTAAACAAGACCTTTTAAAGTCTCAGTTTGCAAGTTTACATGATAAACCATACTGACTTTGCAAGAGGTGTTTGAAACATCAGGCCAATTATATGCATTTTCTGAAGTCTATAATGGATACACACAAAACAACCCCCTAAAAGTCCAATTCTACTACCCTTATTCACACTGAGTACCATCTTATTTTGAAGTAGTCCCCACTCATTTCAATTAGATTCTTGTCCTTGTGGATTAGATGCTCACATCTGGACTTCTTGTGAAATTTATAAAAATAAACTTTTCCTATATTGTATTTATTTTTGGAGATAGTCCACAATTTAGACCATCTATAAACATAAAGCTAAAAATACCAAAAGCTGTTTGTGTATTGGAATTGTACAAATGTTCTAAAATGACTGTTCTTTATCTTTTGTGCATTTTAAACACTCCAGAAAAGCTGGCAGACTGAGAGTTAGCATAGTAAGTTTCAGCCAGGAGTGAAATTTTATGGCCAACCTAGTATTTATCTCTAAATACAGAGGTTTACATTTTCTGACAGCCCTTTAACCAGAGCTGTGCAGATGTAGCCTCTTCAATCGAATGTGCTAATATGCATTCAGGATGAGATATATTGTAATTGCTATAGTAGTATCACTTTGGTGACAAAGTGTGGAAGCTACTTCTTTTGAAAATCCGTTGAAACATCAAAAAGAACAGGAGTACTTGTAGCACCTTAGAAACTAACACATTTATTTGAGCATAAGCTTTCGTGGGGTACAGCCCACTTAATCAGATGCATAGAATGGAACATATAGTAAGAAGATAGATACATACATACAGAGAACATGAAAAAGTGGAAGTAGCCATACCAACTGTATGAGGCTAATTAATTAAGATAAGCTATAATCAGGAGAAAAAAACCTTTGTAGTGATAATCAAGATGGCCCATTTTAGACAGTTGACAAGAAGGTGTGAGGCTTCTTAACAAGGGGAAATAGATTCAATATGTGTAATGACCCAGCCACTCCCAGTCTCTATTCAAACCCAAGTTAACGGTATCTAGTTTGCATATTAATTCAAGCTCAGCAGTTTCTCATTGGAGTCTGTTTTTTAAGCTTTTCTGTTGCAAAATTGCTACCTTTAAGTCTGTTACTGAGTGACCAGAGAGACTGAAGTGTTCTCCTACTGATTTTTGAATGTTATGATTCCTGATGTCAGATGTGTGTCCATTTATTCATCAGTATATCTTATGATAAACTCCTAGATGTTGTGAAAAATTGTGCACTCATTCTGTGAATGTTTACAGTTCTACCCTCAAGGTTTTTGACAATTTTTTCTAGTTGAATGACCACAATGATGCAATGGAACACTAGAGTAAATAAAATGGTGGTCTTGCTGAGGGTTCATCTTAGACCTCTCATTCCCCCACTCTTCTGCCTCCTTTGTGTATTACACTTGTTTGGCACTGCCACTGAATGCCAAATTGGTGCAAGGTAATCACATAGGTTTTCTGCCCTATTTACACCTAGCATGTAATTTACACTATGATTTAAGTCACCACTGAATATGGCCAATAGATATGCATTCAAGTTTTACTTTCTTAAACTAGCTCTCAATATAGTCCTCTAATTAAGAAATAGTTTTGCCTCTATTGAATATTTTCTCTGTTTTTATTCTGTTTTTAAATGTCTAGAAACATTTTCTTGAAAATAGGATTTTTGTTTCATAAAGGTATTTGGCTCCTATTACTTATTTCACAACTGAAATTATAATCTTCCGTTTGTGATAGCACAATAGTCTCAACTGGTTGAAACATCGGGAGCAGAGAATTATAGCTTTAACAGAAGCCGCTGAGATATTAAGAAACAAACCCGTTTTCATGCAAGTTCTCCTATGAACAAAATAGGGGTCTAAGATTGGGCAGGTACGAAGAAGGGGAAAATACCCAAAATACGTGTCACAGAGGCAAGATTTTTAATTTTTTTTTATTAAAACAGCTTTTCAAAATTTCCCAGGAGGTTTCTCCTATCCTTCAATGACCACTACATATAGCTAGAAGAAAAGTAAGATTACATCTTCAGAAACAAAATACGTTCAGAGATTTTGGCATCATAAAACTATATAAATTAGACCTTGCCAGTGGAGTAGCCATTTTGATTACCCTCCTGGCAGACTAATTCTACAGAAACATATGTTACACAAAGCCGTTCAAGGGTGATATCCCACTGGTTAGTTATACCTGCAGCCAATAGGTTTGGAGAACTTTGAACTCTCTTCACAGCTGTTAATGTGACAGACATTGCAGCACGTTTGCGAGCACAGCCACCGCTATCTGGAAGCACAAAACGATATAGACACAGGCCCAAGACAAAGGAAGCAAGCACATACAACATATTACATGGTGTGAGATACGCCAAATGTACATCAAAAACACGTGCAGTTAGGAATTGCTGCTGATAGTTGTGTGTATTTAAAACCCACAGATTAGCAGAATACACTGTAGGTTTCCAGAGCTCAGGATATCTAATATGGTAAGTATTCAGTACTTAATACATTGTGACAATGTGTGCATTCTGGTGCCAGAAGGGCTGCTTATGAGGAGCTAAGGTTACGAGTTGGTCAGAGAGGTCATGGATTCTGTGATTTTATGTGATCTCCATGACTTTAGCCCCACGCTGAGGGGCTCAGGCTTCCGTGATATATTGTTTATTGCCCACATCCTGCCCATGACTTTTACTAAAAATTGACAAAATCTTAGCCTTATGTATAGCTAATAATGCACAAATAGTTAATCAAGATGATGGATTAAAAGCTGCATAATACTTGTCAATAATCAGCACTGTAAAGCCATTTTATTGTTCGCTCGAGAAAGGCATATTCACAAGACAGGCTTATCTTTTATTACATGACAGTGTTTTTGTAGTGTACTTTGGATCTATACAGAATATTTTAAACACAAGTGACAAAAATTGCTCATTTTTTCCTTGGTATGGAAGAGGAGGGAGACTATATCCCTATTCTTCTTTTTAAAGACTTCTCATTCTGGCAGCTCTACTTAATGGAAGATTGATGTTCTTGCCTCTGGAGCCCAGCAATGTCCTGGGAGAGTAAGTGGAGATTAACGCAAGGTGCTCTCTCTACTATGACACAAAATAAAAGTTTGGGACAGATCTAAGATCACTGTGAAGAAATCAGAACACGCAATTGTCTCCCTCCTCAGCACTTGGGGAGTTAGGGAAAAATCATCTCAGATAATCCTTTTCTTCTCCATTTATTCCCCTCTTCTTTCTCTCCTACTGACTGAGGGCTGGAAACTGTATGGAGATTCTGTGCCCACTGGCACTATATCACTGTTATTGGCAGCAGCTGGCGTGTCATGGGATTGGACCTTTCATTATGGGGCAATCACCGTTCTCTATCATATTTGCAAAAACAGTTCAGAAAATATTCTGCTTGAGTTCTTCTATGTAAAATCAGCTTTTTCTCTGCTCTTTGCTAGTATTAAAATTCTTTACCTTATTGTTCATTCTGGCTGAAATTTTCGAAGGAGCTAAAGTCGATGAGACTTAAAAGCATTGGGAGTTGGGTGCCTTAAAGCCTCTTGGAAAATCCCACCCTACAATTTTCAGAAAAGCTCTGTGACAGACAATAATGTTTAAACAAAAATGATATTTATCTATCTGAGATTATTATATATATCAGGTGTGAGCTGAACCCCAGGGGCATCTTTAACCTAGGTCAAAAGGTTAATGCTCCAGGTATTTGTAAACTGGCTCAGACATTCCAATGGAAATATCCAGAGTGTATTGGCATTGAATCTTGTGGCATGTGTGTTAAACTGTTGCTGATGCTGACAAATATCTGAGTTGCTGTCCTCAGGTTTAAGTCTATCAAAAGCCACCTCCAGTTCTGAGACATGAGGCAAAAGGTCAAGTGATTTCAGCCATCTAATAAGTGGAATAATCCTAAGCAATGTATTGCTTGGAATTAATAATTTGTATTATGCATCTGAAACAAAGGGAAATGGCCATCACACCTGCACATTTGCTGGAAATTACTGACATAAATATGACATCAGAGATATAATTTACTATAACGTTCCCATTCTTGTCCTTTCCCCTCGACTGACATGAGATGACAGATCTCATTGGAACTGCTGATCGTAGAATTCAAAGAGTAATACAGTAAGTCCCTATTATGTCATTGTATCTTCATTACCATATTGTATTCATATCTATTTTTCTCTAATATGAAAGTATTGCACGTATCATGTTGAAAGGATACTCTATTTGATTAGTAAATGCCAATAGTCTGGTATTTGATTTTGATTTGTGTTGTCACATTGTCTAATCAAATGGAATACAAGCTTTATTGCATTTTTCTAGAAATGTTTTAATTTAGTTTCAGAGCAGGAAAAGGGGAACAGGGATGTAGACTGCCATTCGGGGAAAGACACAATGCTACTGACACTGCACAAGAATGAGGCAGGTTGGACCACTACATCTCCAAGCCAAAGTAAACTCAGCAAATAATTACAATATGTCATTCTGAACAAATATTTCACTATTATAATTTCAAGAAACACTATCCCAAATACATTCCTTGTAGAACGTACACTCATAGAATTTAAGGCCAGAATGGACCATCACATCACAGGCCACAAAACCTCACCCACCCCCTCCTGTAATAAGCCTACAACATAGGGCTGAGCTACTGACATCCTCAAATCTTGATTTAAAGACTTCAGGTTATAGAGAATCCACCATTTACTCTTGTTCAAACCAGCAAGTGACCCATGCCCCATGCTGCAAAGGAGGGTGAAACCCCAGGGTCTCTGCCAATCTGACCCAGGGGAAATTTCCTTCCTGACCCCAAATATGGCCACCAGTTAGACCTTTTGAGCATATGGTCATGACCCATCAGCAAGACACCTGGAAAAGAAATCTCTGTCTACAAAACCTTGGCAGAGTCAATGAAGTTATATAGCAGGGCTCTATTTGGCCCATTATCTAATGATATGTTTGACATTGCCTCTTACACATCCCATCATCAATAGGAAAATGTATACATTGCAATATACAATGTATGTATATGACACGTATCTATATAAACACAGATATCTATTTAAAGGAACACACTGTGCATATATACATAAGCAATATTGAACTAGATATTGACTGATGTTGAATACATTGAAATACAGTACAGATACCATATATTCTAAATATTTGTATCATATTAGATTTTTAAATATTTTTTTTTTATTCATCTTGGACCCAATTTTGCAATGCTTGCTCAGGGTCTCTGATTGAAGTCAGTGGGAATTTTGTGTATGGCTTTCAAATTATACAACTATCAAACTGCTCATTCTCATCTTCTAGGCCCTACATTACTCCACTGTGCCTACATCTCAAAACTTATTTCATATTGCATCATCCCACATGCCTCTGCTCCACCAGACATCCATAAACATTTTATGCACCAATAATTCTGCTTATGAAATGCTCGTGTTTGTTGGATAATTCTTAATAACAAATTTATTTATAAAAATCTAAGTCTCTGCAGAAATTGGTGGAAAATTAAGCAACTGATTCAAGTCAAAGTTTGGCGTAAGAAATGGTATATGGAATCACCATCACTTTTCATCATATTCTTAAATTGGATGTTAAAAATGGTAGACAAGTTGAAGGGCGTGACATTGGGAGATCTAGAGTTATGCTTTTCAATTTATACAGATGACGTTGTGTGATTGGCAGACACGTTTGAATTAATAATGATACTCTTCACTACCTTGGAACATTGGTGTAGTCAACCTGGATTTACAATAAATGCCAAGAGGACCAAGTGGATGTATCTTGGAAAAGTGTTGAAATGCAGCAGCAGTGAAGTTGTAGAACAAGTAAAATCTTATGAGTATCTAGGAAGCTTGATCAGTGCCGACAGTTCCATCAAGAATGAGGTTAAAAGGAGATGTGCTTTAGCTACAAGTACTGTACAGGAACTGAAGAAATTATGGACTGATAAAATCCTTTGTTTGGTACCAAAGTGAAAATTTATCAAACCAGTGTACTAACAGTATTATTGTATGGACTGAAAGCAGCTGCATTAGATGAAATGAACATCAGAAGACCGGAGGTGGTAGAGATAAGAGTTTTTCGAAAGATGGCAGGTAGAATGTGAAATGATTTGAAGACAAATGAAGAAGTTAGAAGCAGAGTAGGATGGGAAATCACAGTACAGGATTGGCTGCAATGAAAAAGATTACAATGGTGCGGACACTGTAGAAAACAGATAATAAGATGCTAAAGAAAATAATGAAAATGCAACAAAGGTCAGTCAGACCTAGAGGCCGACCACTGACTAAACGGTGGGACATTGTACAAAAAAGACATGATCTGGCTGGGCTTAAAGGAATGAATGGTGATATTGTACTGCTCCCCAAATCTCTAAAGATGCTTTGGGATGAGAAGAAGAAGTCTCTTTGTAGTTAACTCACAAACAGGAAGATGGGCTTAATTCATTGATTGATTACCCATGTCTGCTGTAACCCCCATACTACTTAACATCTATGTTGAGGGGCAAATGAGGATATCTGATACTTATATACACCTATTTAAAATGTTTATATGTGTATAAAATTATACCCACATATATTTTATTTATATATACAATTTCCATCTCCTCAGTCCTTCATGTCTCATGTTTTCTTATAAATCCGTTGGGTGTAGCAATCATAGCTTCTCATGTATTTCTACAACACCGACATAATGGGGCCCTGATTCTGATTAGGCTTCTAGGCACTAACACAGCGTAAACATTAAGTAGTAATTCATAACTGAATAACCTGTTCATTGAATAGCATGCTCAGCTCTGATCAGGAGCTACATTTTGATGAGATGCTATCATAGGCTCTTGCAAGCCCTCTGCACATGCCACTCCCATTAAAAGAGGTGCAGACAAATAATCAGCTTTAATAGGTATTACAACTTTGGGGATGGGAGAAAGGAGAGTGAAAGATAGCTGGCAGCACCCCTCTGCTCCCTTGTCTAGCTCTGTGCAAGAATGGCCCTCACTTTCCTCTGGGAGCACTAGGACCCATGTTGCATCCCCCTTTCCTGAGTCATATGGGCTGTGGGAAGAAAGAAATTCTAGGCAGAAGCCAGCTGCCAAGGGTCAGAGAAACAATGGCTGGCAGGAGCAGACACAGAAGCAGTGGCAGCAGGTTCTGTAGAAGGAACTGTTGGATATTGATGATGTTATTAGACTGTTTTCACCAGTTTTTGCTCTGGGCATTGACTGTTTGTTCCAGCCCCCCACCCACAGTCTCTTCAT